CCGCAGGTGCGCCGGCCCCATGCTGACCATCGCCGCCGCCCGCGCCCACGGCCGCTCCGTGTTCGTGTCCCCCCACGACAAGCGGGCCGAGGCCGAGGCCGCGCGCCGCGCGCTGGCGCCGGCGGCCTATGACTACAGGTCTGACCACCTGGCGCTGGTGGCGGCGTTTGCGGGGTGGGAGGCGGCGCGGCGCGGGGGCGGGCGGCGGGCGGCGGCGGAGTTCTCTGGGCGCAATTTCCTCAGCGACCAGGTGGGGTGGGTGGGATCAGGGCTCGGGGTTTGGGGCTTGGGGTTAAGGATTGTGTATCCTGAATGGCAGCAGTGTGCAGTGTGGCCTTCATCAGGCTGCATGTGCATATGCAGCCTGATAGTGCTCAGCCAGACCCGAACAATTCATGTTTTGCGTTGGCCAGGAGGGCGGGCCTGCAGGCCAGCGCCGCGGGCGGCCTGGCAGTCACCTGCCTGTCGCAAGCTGCCCGCACCACCACCCGTTCAAACCCTGCCAGGCGATGGACGCCATCGCGGCCGGCCGCGCCGACTTTGCCCGCACCCTGGCGTCGCTGGGCTTCCTGCCAGAGTGGTATGTACACGAGATGCGCTCCGCGGGCGGCGGCAAGGGCGGCGGCGGCGCAGGCAGCAAGGCGGGCGGCGGTGTGGCGGAGGCGTATGGGTTTATGGCGGCGGCAACAGGGGGCCCCGACGAGTTCTCGGGCAACTCGCGGATGATCAAGGCGGCGCTCTGCGCGGGTGGGGCGGGGTTGGGGGCGCGGCGGGCGAGGCGGGGGGTCGGTGCGGGACTAGAGCAGCCTCCGATTACGGGTGACACCTCCCATCTCAGGAGCCATGTTTCAGGCATTCTCTCCATCACAAAGTCCGCTCAACAAGCCCTCCCCGTGGTTGTTTTTGTTCCACAACACCATATTGTCAAATACTGGTGCGTATCACACCTGGCCCATCTCCCTCGAATCTTACCGCAACCGCATACACCCCCCACCACCACCACCACTGCCCACCAGGCTTCTACCCGTCCATCCTGCGCGTGGAGGAGCCCAAGCGCTACGCCCAGGTGGAGGGCGGTGCCTTCAGGGTGGACGCCGACGCGCGCGAGGTCAAGCTGTTTGAGAGGCAGCTGGGGCGCGTGTTCGTGCACCCGGCGAGCGTGTGCTTTGCGGCGGGTGGCTACAAGGTGGGCGCGGCCCGGCGGGGCCTCGCGCGTCAATGCTTGTGCTTGCTGCTGGCTCGTGTGCCCGGCGTCAGGTGGTTGATTTCCGCTTGCAAGCGAGGCCGGCGATTTGGGGTTCTGAGGTGTGTCACTCACGCCGGCTGGCTAGGGTTCAGCTTCCTAAGCATGTACTTGTGCATGCATGCGCGCACACACACGCACACAGGCATGCGCACACACACACACGCACACAGGCATGCGCACACACACACACACACACACACGCATGCACACATGTACATGCACGCAAAGTAGTCCCAGTGCTTCCGCCGCAACGTTGCCACCCTCTCTCTCCAATCCCTCCGCCCAACACTCCCCCCTCCCTCAGACGGGCTGGGCGCTGTTCACCGAGATGGTGCAGACCAGCAAGCGCTTCGTCCGCGAGGTCTCCATGGTCGGACACTACGCCCTGCTGCTCTGCGCCGCGCGCCTCGAGGTGCTGCACGCCGCCGGCGAGGTGCTGCTCGACGGCTGGGCGCGCCTGCGGCTGCGGGCGCGCGGCGCGGTGCTGTTTGCGCGGCTGCGGCGCGCGGTGGACGCGGCGTTGGCCGCCAAGGTGGAGGACCCGGGGCTGGACCTGGGGGGGCACCCCGCGGTGGAGGCCATGCTGGAGCTCATCGCGCGCGACGGCGCGTGACGGCGCGATGACGTCACCGTGCTGAGGGGCCGGGCGACGCTCGACGGGGATTGCGGCCCGGGCGCGGCGTGTCTGCCGCCTGCTTGCGAGGACCAGGAGTGGCCGCGAGCAAGGGCAAGAGCGCGGCTGCAAGCATGTCTAGGGTGGCTGCCCTGGTATCGAGGCAGCTACGGCCAAGCGCTTGGGAGACCTTTTTGACCTATTCCTCGTCCCGGCGGGGCGCTTTGCTCTGCTCCGGCCCCTCCTTTGACGCGCATGCCCTCCACCTGTAAGCATCAACCCAAGCATGGAACCGAAGACAAGCACTGCAGCGCTGGCACGCATGTAACGTCGCAGCCGCACCAGCAGCGATGCATGCCACCAGCAACCGCCCAGCGCTGCTCCGATGTGCTGGGTCGGGACCCGGGTGCCTTCAGCGATGCATCACCTGCACGAGCTCACCCCTGAAGCCGACACCTGCCTGTGCTGCATGCATGCGTGTGTCTGGACACCGCTGTGTACCTTGGTCAAAGCTGTGCGTACCCCGCCGGGCGCAACTTGCTGTGCGCATCCCAACAGCAGGCGGAGCGGTGACAATAACTGCACGCCTGATCGGCTCGCGTTGCACTATCGGGTCAAATAGAGGTCATCGAATCGTTGCTGATCGGTGATCGGTTTCACATCGCTTCACAACAGAACTCGACGCCGCTTGAGATCATTGTCGACGCGCGCGCATCCGATGGGAACCTCAAGCCCCCGGCAACCCCTGCTCGAAGCCCTGTCACGCGGGGACGCTGAAGCGTGCAGGATCAACTACGCGTTTGACGTAGAATCCGTGATCAGCTCCCGCACGCACCAGGATGATCTGGCTCTGCTTTGTGCAGCAGCCCAGCGCCTCGGCCCTTGCCAGGGGTGGGCCTTGATCGCCCTCAGCAGGTGCCTGACAGCTTTAAATTTGAAAATAGCGAGCGAGTGTGGGAACAATGACGATGGCGGCGGGAGCAGCAGCGCCAACGTCGATCGCGAGCCCAGCGGCGGCGGCAGCGCCAGCGGCTGGCAGCGCGACGCGTGCATCCAGGCGGTGCTGTCGGCACCAGGCGGCACCTCCAGCATCCTGCAGGTCACTCGCTCCTGCCCCCATGTGAGTTCCTGTCACACACGCGTTTGTGCACAAGTGGTGATGCCGGCCCTCAAGATCAGTCGGTGCCTATCACTGGTCGTCAGCGATGACGACATCGCATTGAGAGCACCGGCACATGAGGTGGACCCCAGCCCGAACGCCCATTACCCTTCCTGTGCACTCTTGCAGGCCGAGGCAGACGCCCTATGCGCCCTGAAGGCCCTTGCCTGCGGCTGCAAAGATTACTGTTGGAGGATGGCCGCAGACTTGCCACTGATCAGGTGCGTGGGAGTGGCCTCGGCGGCGACGGATCGGGAGTGTTGCGTGCTGAGAAAAAACGCGCCTTTTGCAAAAGATAAAGCGGCTGCGACTGGGTGTGGTTGTGTCAGGGTGGGTTTGCATGCATGATGTTCATGTTGAGGGCGACCAAACTGGGTGCTGGGTACAGCCTGCGCTGCATGGCTTGGGAGCTGTTGGCTGTCGCAGCTGCGTGCTGCCTTCTCACCTGTCCAACCATCGCCGCAAACCAAACCCCAAACCAAGGCACCTGTCGTCTCGTCTGGCCGCCTGCGCCAGGGCGCTGCACGGCCGCCTCCCAGCAAAGCCCCCGCGCGCCGCGCAGCTGCGGGCCACCGCCGCTGCGGCCGCAGACGCGCTTGCGACAGTGCTCTCCATCACCTGCGTGCCGCACGGTCAGCCCGGGGCTTTGGACGAGGCGACCGAGACAATCGACGCGGCCGAGGCGGCTGTGGCATCGACGCCTGGAGCCGTGGCGGCGCTGCTGCCGTTGATGGCTGACACGAGCGAAGCTGCTCTGGCGGAATCTACCTTTGACCTGTTCCGCATCCTGGCGGGCAAGCGCTCGGGCGCCATCAAGCATGTGTGTGCGGCGCTCATAGGCCCACCGCCCCCTGATGCGCACCTGCGCGCCGCCGGCGCCGCCTGCTGTGCGCGCGCCGCGGCTGGCGGCGACGCCGGCGGCGGTCGCGGCGGCGGCGCGCGGCAGGTGGCAAACGCGCTGTGGGCGGCCACGGCGCTGGTGCAGGCCAGTCCCGATGTGGCGGGGGCCTCGATCGTAGCGGGCCCCGCCCTCATGGCCAATGTGCTGGCCGCTGCCCGCGTGGACCGGGGCATAGGAAAAGGCCGGCTTGACGGCAGGGAGGATGCGGCCGCAGCCTTGCTGACCGCCCTCTGGAACGGCCCCTGCCGCGACCCCGCTGTGGGGACACCAGCACGCCACGCCGTTCTGCGCGGCTGCCTGATGCTGACGCAGAGCAGCGGCGCGTTCGTCGCGGCGCAGGTCGCTGGGACGCTCATGACGGCCGCTTCTTGGGGGGTCGACGTGGCAGCCTGCCCGGGCGCCATTGCGACGCTTGTCGCGGCCGTGCGGAGGCGCGGTGGCCCCTGCGTCGCCGGCCCGGCGTGCTGCCTGCTCGCAACGGCGGCGGCCAACGGGCACGCGGCGGAGGTGGTGGGGCTCGGCGGACTGGCGGCCCTGGAACAGCTTGTGCGGGAAGGCGCAGAGCTGCCGCCGCCCAGCGCGGCCCAGACAAGCAACTTGCCGGGGAATCCGCCCGATTTTTCCACAGCCGTGCAGGCGGCATGCGTCGTGCTCTCGCCTGGCTGGCTGCCCGTGCTCGGCTGCGAGGGCGGGGTGGGCAGCAGGGACGGAGCAGAATCAGCTGGGCAGCTGCCAGCGGTGATGGCTCCTGCGCTCAAGCTTCTGTCGCGTGTCATCCGCGGCCCGGATCAGCCGTCAGCAGCATCAGCATTGGAGGGTCCATCAGCTGGCGCGACATCCGGCAACCCAGCACTGGGTCTGGCAGAGGCAAAACTTTTCAAGTGCTTGTCTGCCGCAAAATCGGCGGCAAATGGGAAGACGAGGCCTGCGCGGTTCAGCGCCAGTGAAATTTTGGGTGACCTGGCTGACGCGGTCGCTCTAATTGAACAGGGGCTGAATCCAAGCTCGTCGGCTGCCTCGTTGAAACCAGGGGTGGCGCGTGCGGGACCAGGGGCCATGGGTGCTGTGTCGCGAGGTGCAGCATCGGCGCGCGCGGGATCAGGGGCCGATGGTGTCGCTTCCGGATCGTCGCCGCCCTCAAGGATGGCCCCGAGGCAGCAACACGAATCCACAGACAACCCCACCCTTGTGTCAGGGGCCCTGGACTGCCTCGAGCGCTTCGTCAACGGCCGTCCGCAGCTGCCGCCGCAGCTGCTCGCCGCCCTGGCAGCTCAGCAGCCGCAGCTCCTCCCGGCCCTGGCGCGCCGCGCGACGATGGCGGCCGACCGGGAACGCGGCGGCGGCGGCGGCGGGGGCTGCGCAGCAGGCGGCGGAGGTGGTGTGATGGCTGACCTGCAGATTTTGGCGAAGGCAGCAAGCATCCTCGCCGGCGCGTCCGGAACAGGGGATGACAGGCTGCCGCCGCCCTCCCGCGCCTGCCTGCTGCTCGCCGCGCTCGCACGCGGCAAGCGCACAAAGGCGGGTGCCGCGGGCGCGAAGGATGGGGCAGGGGGCCGGGGCGGGGATGGCGCGGCGGCGGGCAGCACTCAGCTGCGGGAGGCGGCGGCCAGGGCCCTGCGCTGGCGCATCAAGGCTGGCAGTGGCAGCGGGGCTGATGACGAGTCGGAGACCGTGGCGCGTCAGGCGGCAGCTGCTGCACTGAGGATACTGACTCAGGGGGTTGAAAGCGGCGCCACCCCAGCAGGTAGCGTCCTGCCAAAGACAGTGGCAGGGGCGAAGGCAGCAGCGGTGCCATCGGAGCGCGACGCTATCAGCCAGCGGCCGGGAAGCGGCCGGGGCTGCGCAGAACCAGCCGCAGCGGAGCAGCGTGTTGGGCTGGCCGCGGTTTCCAGCGACCCCACGTGCAGCTCCGACGGCGGCGCAAGTGGCCTGCTTCAGCAGGCGTCCTCTGCAAAGAATGTGGCACAGGCGGGGGCAAGGGCGGTGTGTGCGCAGTGTGGGGCCGCGCGCACCAAGGAGGGGCGGGCCCTCACCACGTGCTCGGGGTGCTTTGCTGTCAGGTGAGCGGGTGGACACGGCGAGGGGTTGGCGGCGCGCAGGCTGGGTGTCAAGGGTGGCATGCATGCATGGATCATGGATCCTGTCTTGCTTTTCATCATGATTGCAGGCCCCGGCGCCCCTCTGCGCCGCAGAGGCCTTGCACGACACACTTACCTGCAGCGGCCTAGCAACTCCTCCCTGGGACATGCACTCCTCCCACACACCCTGCCCCCTGTGCATGACAACCCACTGCCTCCGTACCGCTCAACACACCCAACAGCTACTGCGGCTCTGACTGTCAGCGGCAGCACTGGCGAGGCGGGGGCCACAGGGCGGCGTGCAAGGAGCTGAGGGCCGGCAAGGAGGCACACCCCTAGATGGGGCGCAGCACGTGCCCACCAGCAGGCAGCCAAATGCACAGGTGGTGGCCGCGCATGTGGGCGAAAAGGGCGGTCAAGCGTTAGGTGCCGGCATCTGAGTAGAGAGAGTGAGAAGTGTTGCCTTCTGTTTTGGCAGCAAAACCCGGCAGTGGAGAGCGTCTCGGCTCTGTCCAAACGCAAAGGAGTGCAGTGGCACCATGCCAACCCCGTGCAAGTGCAGCATAGTCTGCGTGTGCGCCGCTGGCCAGGATCTGGCGCCAGAGCTGTCGAGCCCCGCAGCTGCTGTCTGCGACGCTGTTGGCGCTGCAGCAGGCTGCGGCACTGGTAAGCTCGAGGGCCCTAGCCCCATTTCTGATGGTCAGCTGGATGGCCCTAGCCCCATTTCGGATGCGCACACACAGAAAATGTCGCCGCGGGTGTATTGGCGGCTTGCTGCTGAAACGTCGCATCGTAAGCGCTGCTGCACATTCAAGTGCGGAAGATGCCCGGAGTCAAACGCTTGTCTGTCTATCTGAGCGGACCTGCCGCTGCATTCTGCCCCTGGGGCGCCAGGCAGGCAGCTGCGACCCCAGGTACACAGCTGCTGAGCTGTAACATAATGAGGCGAGAGTTACAATCCGCATACACAACACAATTGTGCGAGTCATTGAAAGGGAGAGCGCTTGCCACCTGCCTAGACTGAGAAGCGCGTGCCCTGGGTCAGCGCAGAGCCAGGGGCCACGGCCCTGCAAAGCTGCCGGCGGCAGGCCAGGCAGCGGCAGCGCCTTGGTTGCGAGCACGCGAAAGGCGGTGGGGGGCACAGAGATACCGTAGATGGTGCGCCGGCCGGTGCTTGCGCGTTTATATGTTTGATCGGCATCCCATGGTCGGCGAACGCCTCTTGACCGCTCCCTGCTGCCGGCCAATGCGGCCGGCGCAGCGCGGCCGCCCGAGGCGCCGTCCCAACCGCCGTCTTAGATGGACAGCCCGCTGGGCATGCCGGCCGCGCCCATGCCGCCGGGCGCGGCCCCCGACCTGGTCCGCTCGACCATGACGGCCTGCGTGGTCAGCATGATGCCTGCGATGGAGCAGCTGTTCTGCAGGCCGTTGCGCGTCACCTTGGCGGGGTCGATGACGCCCGACGCCAGCAGGTCCTCCACGCTGTCGGTCATCGCGTTGTAGCCCATGGCAAAGGGCTGGCCCAGCAGCCTCTGCACGACCACCTCGCCCTCCACGCCCGCGTTCTCGGCGATGATGCGGCAGGGCGCGCGCAGCGCCTTCATGACTATGTCGGCCCCCAGGCGCTCCTCCTCGTTCTCGAGGGTCTCCCTGAACGCGGGGACGAGCTCCGAGAGGTGCAGCAGCGCGGCGCCGCCGCCCGGCACGACGCCCTCCTCGACGGCGGCAAAGGTGGCGTTCTTGGCGTCCTCAATGCGCAGCTTGCGGTCCTCAAGCTCAGCCTCCGTCGCAGCGCCCACCTTGATATTTTTTGGGAGGGGGAAGGGGGGAAGGTTGTAAGAGAGA